AAAAAAAAAAAAGAGTGACCCTAATGTAGACTAAGAACCTTAGGTAATGATGATGTACCAAGGTTGGTCCATCAATTGGAACAAGTGTCCTGCACTAATGTAAGAGGCTAATCATAGGGGAAATTGCATGGGGAAAAGAAAGTATATGGGAACTCTTCTACTTGCTCATTTTTTGGACAAATCTGAAACTGTTCTAAAAATTAAAGTTCATTACAAGTTGAATATCCCTTATTAGAAGTGCTTGGAACCAGAAGTGTTTCAAATTCTAGATTTTTTTTTTATTCTGTAATATTTGCATTGTGGTCATTCCTTGGTATACACAAAGGGCTGGTTCCAGAACCCTCCATGGATAAAAAAATCTGCAGATGTTCACTCAAGTCCCTTACAGGAGCTGCGGTAGCATTTGTACATAACCTACACACATCCCCCTGTGTATTTTCAAATCTTCTCAAGATTACTTACAATACCTAACACAATGCCTACACATCATTTCTTTTGCATGAATTCCATGTTATACTCAGCATATAACAGATCAAGTTCTGTTTTTTTGAACTTTGTGCAATTTTTTTTTTCTGAAAAATTTCAGTCCACTGGCTGTATGCTGGAATATCTTAAATATGAATACCCCAAATCCCAAATAATCCAATAAGCATTTCTTTTGAGCATAATGTTGACACTCAAAAATTTTGGAATTTAGAACATTTCTAATTTGGAGTATTCCAATTTAGGATGTTCAGTATATAATTATACAGATGTGTAGGCACATACACGTGGCCCACAGTGAGAAATGGATCCCGGCCATCCCCTCTTCTCAAGCCCTCTAGCCTTATCCTGTTCTACTGAGAACCAAATCTGAACTCCTTATCCCCTCTGTCTGGCCTCTCTGTCTCCTCCCTTGTGTTGGGCCACTGACCACTTGGCTTGCACTGCTCCGGCCACTTTGGCCTCTCTTCTATGACTCAAACTTATCAAGCTTGTTCCTGCCTCAGGGCCTTTGCACTGGCTGTTCCTTCTGCCTGGAATACTCTTCCTTTGACTTTTCTTCCCTTACCTCCTCCAGGAGACCTTTCCTAGTTACCCCATATAAAAGTGTTCTTCCATCACTCTCTATACCTATGTTTTATAGGTATAAGAAATTATATACCTTGTGTAGTTGTTTTAACATATGTCCACAAATGCCTTGATATACCTCCTTTAAAGAGATAGAGCCTAGGCCGGCGTGGTGGCTCACATCTGTAATCCTAGCCTCTGGGAGACTAAGGCAGGTGGATTGCTTGAGTGCAGGAGTTCAAGGCCAGCCTGAGCAAGAGCAGGACCCTGTCTCTACTAAAAATAAAAGAACTAATCATATAAAAACTAGCTGGGTGTTGTGGCGGCCATCTGTAGTCCCAGCTACTTGGGATGCTGAGGTAAAAGGATCGCTTGTGCCCAAGAGTTTGAGATTGCTGTGAGCTATGACACCACTGCACTCTACCCAGGGCAACAGAATGAGACTCTGTCTCCAAAAAAGAAAAAAAAATTAAAAAAAAAAAAAAAAAGAGATGGAGCCTAATTCTTCTCTCCTCATGGATAGAATGTACTTCACACCTCACTTCTAAGGAACTGAATACGGCAGAAGTGAGAGTGTGACTTGTGGCACCAGATGACAGCCAAAAGGCATTGTGGCATCCTCTTTGCCTTTTCTCTTGGATCTCTCCCTCTGAGAGGAAGCCAGCGTCCATGCTGTGAGGACACTCAAGTAGCCCCATGGAGAAGCCCATGTAGTGAGAAACCGAGGCCTCCTGCCAACCGCCATGTGAGTGAGCTAACCCAGAAACAAGGCCTCCAGCCCTGGCCAAGCCTTCAGATGACTACAGTCCCAGACAACACTTTAATTGCAAACTCAGGGAAGATCCCGGGCCACAGACACCCAGCTAAGCTGCTCCCGACTTCCCCATCCACAGGAAATGAGATAATGTCTGTTCTTTCAAATGGCTAAGTTTTGGGGTAACTTGTTATACAACACTAGATAGCTATTGCCTCTTGTATAGGGTCTCTCTTTCCCCCACTGGACAATGAGCACCTGGAAGCAAGGATGACACCTTCCTTGTTCCCCCAGGACTAAGAAGAGGGCCTGGCACATAGTAGGCACTCATTACTGAAGAAACGAATGAACGAATGTGCATTAGGTATAACAGATCCCAGTTTAAGGCTTCTTTGGACCTCTTAGGCAAGTATTTAGGGTAGGCACATGTGCTGAGGGTACCATATGCTCATCCCATGGATTGAGTCCTGAGAGGGATGTGTGGTGATAAACAGGCTCAGAGAGGTTGAGCATCAGATCTAAGGCCACACAGCTCACACAAAACATAGCCTGGGTTTGTTCTGCTTCAGGGCAGCTGCCTTGTAGTTACTACACACTTGTCCTATAGGATCCCCTGAGAAGATGTCCATGTTTGGAGACCAACAGAGACATTTCCCAGGGTGAAAGGGGACAGGGAAGCCACTCAGCATCACATTTCCATGAACATGGCAGAATTTGATTTATCGTTCACACTGAAGGTTTAGTCCTAAAAGATGCTGAGCACATGTGTGCTTGCGGGGTAACAATTCACTAATAATCTTGGCTGGTAGGGGTGCTCATTACCCAGCGAGGGAGAGAAACCCTGTGCAAGATGTAATAGCTATCTACTGCTATACAACAAGTTACCCCTAACCTCCTGGGGGCTTCCGGCACTGATAGATTAAGGGCAGGGAGGTTTTCATGCTCACATGTCTGTAGAGGCTGATGGGGAGCTGGTGGGGGGGGGACCTCCAAGGAGTCTGAGGACAGGAACAGGAATTTCAGAATGGTCCGTAGTTTCAAATGTGCCCCACAATAATGCCTAGACTATTGTGGCCCAAAGGATCCAGGAACAGGGCCTAAGTATGCCCAGACCCCAGCTGGGCCCTCTTTTTCTGGTCACCCCTGATAGTCAGGGAAATGAGACCCCAGGCCTCCTCTTCCTCAACCTGGCCTTACCAAGGTGATTTGGCCTCTCACTGTCTCTCTGCACATCTCTCCTTCCTGAATTCAGTGGGTTCCAAGGAGGTCCAGAGGGTTCATAAAGCCGGGGATCAGCTCCTGGTCCTCATTATAACCACCACAACAGCAGGAGGAGTTACCATAACTACCGCCTGATCTGCCTCACACCCTGAGCCCCCTGCATTGTTCTTCTGAACCCCTGAGGCTGGGACCCCCATGATTCTCATTTCTCAGCCAGGTTCCCTGTCATCCTGGTGATCAGGCCCTAAGTGTCCTGGACCCACTGTGCTAGATGTGTGTGAGGCCGTGATGTTGGGTGGGGGAGCCTCCACGGCCATGCCCGGGGCAGCGGGGACTCACCACATGCTCCCCGATGCATCCCGCTCCCCGAATGCGCTGTAGGAGCCATCCTGGTGCCTGTATGTCAGCTGCCGCTGGTAGCCTGCAGGGCGAGGAGAGGGGGCTCGTCTGCTCAGTGGGCCAGCCCAGGCCAGCTGACAGAATCCCATACTGCTCTGTTATCCTCTACCCTAGGCCTCCAAAAGATGTCACACCAAGTCTGGGGTCCTTGGAACCTCTTCACACCCACATTTGGGGCCCTTCAAACTGTCCCCCACCACATCGGGGTCCCTGAAACTGCACCACACCCACACCTGAAGTGGGGTGGCTACAACCTCCACTTCATTCATTCCTTATTTGCTGATGTCCTTCTGTGACTCCTGGTCACACACTGGCCCTCAGGCATCCCCAGGCAGTCCATGAAAGGTGCTAATTGAGGCAACACCCTCTGTCCCCAGGGCCAAGGATTGCTCCACCAGCTAGAGCTAGAGTTTAGCAAGCTTGGAAAGCAGACAGTTCTAGAGTGCCTGGAACAGGGAGCTGGGGAGGTTGAGGGAGGCTGCCCGGCAGGCTGGAAGTTTGGCTTTACTATGAGGGCAGCAGGGAGCCATGGGAGGTTTGTGAGCAGGGAAAGGGTGAGGGAATATATGCAGCAGGTGGACTGCAGGATCTGGACAGGAGGCAATGAGGGACCCCTCGGTGTGCAATGATGGGCTTGGACCCAGAGGTGTAATCAGAGGCAGGGAGCAACTCTGTGGAGTAGGCAGAGATGCTCAGCTGGACATGGGGCATCAGGAGGAGGAGGAAGGGTCCAAAGCCACGGAGGTCTGTAGCTTAAGCATCTAGAAGGACAGGGCTGTGTCTACAGAGAAAAGTGGCAAAAGAAACTACTGGGTGGACAATATCACCCCAAATTCACACCCACCTGCAACCTCAAAAAGGGACTTTGTATGGCAGGCGTCCTCAAACTACGGCCCACGGGCCACATGCAGCCCGCCTAGGACATTATCTGGCCCGCTGAGTGTTTTTGCTGCCGCTGCCTGTCCTGCTTAGCAGCCGACTCATCCTGGGGCCCGCAGTCCGGCCCTCCAATGGTCTGAGGGACAGTGAACTGGCCCCCTGTTTAAAAGGTTTGAGGACCCCTGTATATGGGATCTTTGCAGATGTAATTAAGGTGAGGATCTCAAGGCAAGACCATACTGGATTTAGGGCAGGCTTTAAATCCAATGACTGGTATCCTTATAAAAGAAAAGAAAGGGCCTGGTGTGGTAGCTCACACTTTTAGAAGGTTGAAGTGGGAGAATGGCTTGAGTCCAGGAGTTCAAGACCAGGCTGGGCAAGATAGCAAGACCCCATTTAAAAAACATATTTTAAATTTTTAGCTAGGTGTGGTATACACCTATAGTTCCAGGTACTCTGGAGGGTGAGGTGGGAGGATCACTTAAGCCTAGGAGTTCAAGGCTGCAGTGAGCTATGATGGCACAACTGTACTTCTGTTTGGATAACAGAGTGAGACCCCCAACTCAAAAAAGAAAAAAGAAAAGGACTCAGTCACAGAGCAGATGGCCATGTGACCACAGAGGCAGAGAACAGGGTTATAAGTCCACAAGCCAAGGAGGCCCAGGGCCTCCAGAAGCTGGGAAAAATCCCTGGGATAGACTGTCCCTCAGAGTCTCCAGAAGGAACCAGCCCTGGGATTCTGATCTCTGTCTTCCGGTACTGTGAAGAAATAAATTTCTGTTGTTTTAACCCAGAAAACTAATATGAGTGGGTTTGGCAGGGGGGAATGGAGATGGTTGATCTAAGGTTTGTGGAGTCTGCACTAACATCTGGCTGGATGGACACAGGTCTGGCTATACTAGGGAGGTCCATGATGTCATTCACAAGTGTGACCCTGGATGACATTTAAGTCTCTGAGCCCCAATGGGTGTGCCTGGCCCCAGATAGCTGGTGACCACCCATCACCCAGACCTTCAAAAAGTCAATTTGAGCCCCCACATCCCAGCCTGAGTGGGCTTGGCCTTCCTGATAGTCCATGGTCTGCCCTCAAAGAAGCTGGATTTTCAGCCTGTAGCAACCCCTGACTGTTTCTTTTACCATCTGAGAATTGTATGCTCTTCCTCATAAATTTTTTTCCTTTTCCTTTTCCCATCCATGAGAACAAGTGCTTCAAGACCACCTTTGGAGATCTTAGAGCAGAGTCACTCTCGAAACCTTAACTGCCATGAGTCAGGAACCCCAGACCGGCCCCCAGGAATCAGGGTGCCCATATGACTCAGTTTCTCCATCTGAGATGGACTGGCCCAGTCTGAGGAGCTGGGTACCCACAGGTCCTTCTCAATGATGGATATTGCCCAAATTGTGCCTGTGAGGTGTCATTTCCCTTGGGCAGCAACCAAACTAACCTGGCTACCCCTCCCATTCCAAGTCAGGGAGCCAGGAGAGCCAGAAGCAAACATAAGAGGCCCCAAGATTGACTTAACTTCCTGTTACACAGATTGGAAACTAAGGCCCTGAGAAGAACAGGCCCTTCCTGAGGACACAGAGCAGGTATCCACGACAGAGGTAAGGCTCCAGCCTTCCCTGTTCCTCCTCCATGGGGCCAAGATGTACGGAGGGGACGGGTAAGGCACTCAGAGGCTCTGCTCTCCCCATGTGGGGCCGTTCCCTGCCCTAAGGACCTGGTAATGAAAGATGTTCAGTGCTGTATTAATTATTTCTGATGCTGTTTAGTATTGTGTTATTTATCTCTGAAGATGTCTGGTGCTGTATTAATTATTTCTGAAGATGTTGAGTGCTGTTATTTCAGTGCTAATTATTTCTGAAGGTGCTCAGTGTTGCTTTATTTCTGAATAACATTATTTCTGAATATCACACTGAACTTCTTCACAGAAATTTGTCTTCAGATAAATTCGCTGAAGATGTTCAGTGCTGTGTTAATTATTTCTGAAGATGTTAGGTGCTCCATTATCATTATTATTATTATTAAAGACTGATTCTCACTATGTTGCCCATGG